GTCTTTTTTATGTTTTATTTTTTTAATAAACTGCTTAAATGTCATTTTGTTTTTTGATCTTTATTTTATCTCTTTGCTTCTGTTGCTTCGTTCGTTCAGTTGTTTTCTTGCTTTTTCTGTTTTTCTGGACATTTTTTATTTCCTTCATTTTGTCCAAAGAATATGAACAAATAAATATATTCTTTGACAGTTGAAATAATATTAAATATAAAATAAACATTATTAGAATGAAATCTTGAGGATTCTGTGCTTTGCATCATTTTTTTCACCGTTTCTACACAAACCAGTGCACAATCATTTCATTTTCATCTGTTCAAATGAAGCAGCACAACTTTCTCCCCTGGGAAGATAAAGAAATAATAAATCATTATATTTGTATCTTTTACACAATTCCATGAGTCAGAAACTGACAAAGATGTTAGACAAGTATTTCAGTCTCATCTGATCTCACTGTGTGTCAGACGTGACCATCAGCTACTACCACTTCTAAATTACCACGTCAAATGTTTGTAGAGGCTGAAGGTGATTAGCTGTGGCGGCCATCTTGRWYTCCATTGACTTCAGCCATCCCTGTAACTACACACCTGCCCAGTTCTTCAAAGCTTTAAGAGGACCGGTCTTTTGTCCCTTTAGGAACAGCTGGTCCTCACCAGGCTGTGTACCAGGAAAATGGTTAAAAATTGTCCCCACAAGGTAGTGAAAACATTTACACACCAGGGTTATTATAGTTAACTAAAACTAACTAAATAACAAAAACTGAAATTGAAAGAACAACATTTATTTAACTAAAATAAATAAAAACTGTAATAAAATAAAAAACAATAACTAAAACTGTATATTTTACAAAACTAACTACAATTAACTGAAATTATAGACAGAATATTTAGTTTTAGTGTTTGTCAATTTATTTTGAGACGTGGATCTTTTTTTATTTTTTAATGGAGTAGTTTCCCATCAGCTGTGGTCTGTAACACTTGTTTACCCTCTGCTGCTGCTCAGCATCAGCTGCTAAATGATGACAAACGGGAGAAAACAACAACAACGCCCACTTTATTTCTTTGAATCTGACTGAAAAATCAAATCAACTGTTTTGTAGTGGAAACAGGTGATAAAACAGGTGATAAAACAGGTGATAAAACAGGTGATAAAACAGGTGATAAAACAGGTGGAATACTTCTGAAGAGAAAAACTGCATGAATCAAACTCACACAAGATGCTAACTGTGACTATCTGACACGTTAGCTTCTCTCATAGTCCAAGAGATAGGCCATGTTTATCTGCATATAATGTACCAGCAATTTTATTGGTACCCCATTAAACTACATCCCTTCCAGGTATAAAAACCCATTTCTTACTAAATTTCTCCTGGACACAAAGTCAGAATTCAAGATCAATGCTAAAAATCATGGCTTTGACTATGACAATATATCTGACTACAATCGCCAGATCTTTTGCTTCAGATCTGTTTTTTGGTACCAAAATGTTAAAAATTGATTGCTTAATTAAATCCAGGTAACTAATATTAAACTTATAAAGCCATTTACAGCTGGCATCCTCAAAAAGTGCCAAAAAGGGTCAAAAATTGAGGATTTTTGGAAAATCTGGTCAYGCACTTTCCCCAACTGTTCTGTCTGTAAGAAAATACGTATTCAGTAGACTGAAGTCAACATGAAAACCACCATTGTTAAATAAACTGATTTGTAGAAGGAATACAACCATACAAAACCAGAATTCTGGAACTGAGTGAGGTTTATTACCACCGGAGCTGACAGGAAACCACACTGCTGAAAAACCAGGAAGTTCATYAATTTATACGATTCTTCAATGCCTGAGTTCGCCCCCTGCTGACCTACGGCTGAATCACAGGCAGTCAGACAAAAGTCTCATCTACTGTTCTCATAACTTGGTTATGTGTTGTTATAGATATTTCAGACATGTAACTAATCTATTATCAATCAAAACATAATAGATTAAACATTATCAACATTATAAAAAGGAAAACCTAAAAATGAAGTGTTGTGCTTTTAACATCAGTACTAACCTCTAATAACTATAAATTTCTTCTTGTCAGTGATTCCTAAACTGGCACCAAACTGCACCAAAAATATCTTCAGACACTCATTAATAACATTAACAACACAGTGGTTTGTTTCAAATATACTTTTTAACACTAAAGAATGATTTTAAAATGAAGTAGGGCAATAATATATACAATATTTGAAATTTGGCATATCAATAATTTAGAGGGTTGGCGTCATTTGTTTGYTTCTAGAATGAAAAAAGATGACATTGTACATCTTATGTTTTTTAATAAGTTGAGTATTTGAAGATATTTTTGGTGCAGTTTAGGAAATACTGACAGAACAGGTGGAGAGCATGACTGGATTTTCAAAAAAAAGCTCAAATTTTGACACTTTATAGCACTTTTTGAGGATGACGGCTGTAAATGGCTTTATAAGTTCAGTATTAGTTACCTGGATTTAGTTAAGCAATCAGTTTTTAACATTTTGGTACAAAAAAAAACCAGATTTGAAGCAAAAGATCTGGCAGTTATGGTCAGATATTATGTAGACATAGTCAAAGCCATGATTTTTAGCATTGATCTTGAATTCTGACTTTGTGTCCAGGATAAATTTAGTAACAAATGTTTTTTTTATACCTGGAAGGGATGTAGTTTAATGGGGTACCAATAAAATTGATGGTACTTTTTATGCAGATAAACATGATACAGTATATCTCTTGGACTCTCAGTAGCTCCWGTGAAAAACAAACAAGTAGCAGCAGGTTGGAGACGACTATTGTCATCRTCCTAAAATAATCTCCAAGTTTTTAGTTGGTAAAACTGAGTTACACAATTATTTTAGGAAAGTGTTGCTATAATCAACTGATTTAACTAGTGACCAGATAGTTGTTGGTTAGTTAACTCACAGGAACATCACAAGCTGGAGGTGGCAAATAAACTATAAAAAACTAATACTAGAACTAATAAAAACTAAACTAAGCATTAAAAAATCTATAATAACTAATAAAAACCATCAAATCCACTGTAAAAACTAATTAAAACTAACTGAATTAAAAGAAAAGAAGTCACAACAAAGTCAAACTAAACTACAGTGAAAAATCCAACACTGTTGTAACCTTGGTACACACACGTGTGTGTGTTTGTGTGCACTTGCTTTGAATCCCACTCATTTGTACAGCCTAACCTCTGAGCCTAACTGTAACACAAACATAGTGTTTTTCTTTGTGTGGAGCTAAATGTTCTCACAAGAATCGTCTAATGCCAAAATAGGTGAACATGTATTTTTGCAGCTTTTCTCCAACAAATCAGTCAAAAWAAGAATTTATGTTTTTATTTACATTGTGAGCAGAAACAGTTTTAGTTTTCAAGTGCAGTTTGTGCAGACAGTTAATTTGTGATGTTTTTCCTGCTGGTCTGTTCCTTTGATTCATTTCAAACTGTGTTTTGTGATGTTCTCACACAGCTCTCATGTCAGACGGAGAGAAGCTAAATGTTGTGTGTCTGTGTGCTGTGTGTGTCCTCCACAGGGAGCATCATCATGTACGGRGCGCTGCTGCTCTTTGAGTCTGAGTTTGTCCACATTGTTGCCATTTCCTTCACCTCCCTCATCCTGACCGAGCTGCTGATGGTGGCGCTGACCGTTCAGACGTGGCACTGGCTCATGATCGTCGGAGAGCTCCTGAGCTTGGCGTGTTACATCGCCTCGCTCATGTTCCTGCATGAGTTCATAGGTGAGGAAACGCTCCTGCTCTGCTGGACCTCTGCTTCTGTCCAGGCTGAGGCTCAGACTGACAACAAGCTGTGTTTCCATTCACCATGAAAATACACAAATTAGARTTTCTAAAATAAATTTACTCAATGGAAACAGTTTTTTCACATCACAGGAGTCACRTGWTCAACAACCGTCTGTTTCTACTGGTGAAAAAGACGATGATGAAGAAGATAACAGGAAGTAGAAGTAGTAGTAATATCACAGAAGTAGTATAAAATAGTAAAC